ATTCAGACACCTGCAGTAATTTGAAAGGGCTAATGGTAATCGGAGGTTATAGTTTTCACTGATGCCCACGCCATCCGCGGTGGCTGATGGTGAATAGTGGGCGATTCCGGTTATACTCGTATTTTGGCTCTATCTGCCCACGTGCGTTCTACATTGCCTTATGCAGTTTTGCTATAATCATGCAATATTAATTCATATCCTAAGTACTTATTAGGTGTCTAGTAACAGATATATTTTATTTGTTGCATTAAGGCAAACTTTGTAAGTAATTGTTTTGCAACCTCGTTTCCTAGGTGAGTTTCTAAATAGTGGTATTCTCTTCTAGTGTCAGAAATCTTTTAACGCCCTCATTTTCTTTAGCTACCGTCTATACTTCGCCTTCATAAAGGTGAACAACAATCTCGTCGTTCATCAATCACACCGTTTTATCTCTTTCTGGTTTATTAAAATGGCTATGTGATGGAATTAGAAGTGTTAACTTAGTTATTGTTTTTAGCAGTTTGGCTAAATTAGGCGAAATGGAATAGGTTGGTTTTGAGTTTGTGTGTAACACCTTATACGATATCTTTATTTATGAACACTTGAGGTTGAAGTTAAATCAGGTGCACCATCTGCTTGTTTGCCATTCTAATAACCTAAAAATAATCATCGAAAAAATAGTATTGTTAATGTATAAAATAATTAACAAATGTCAAAACATTAATTATTTTTAAATTAATTTGCCTCCGTAAATAGTCGAAAATAAATAATTACATGTTTTTAAAAGTACCATACGTATCTTATGTTTAGTTTATAGTTATTTAATAAACAGATGTTAAAATAGGTACTTACGATAATGAAAATATGTTCTTTTAACTCGTATAATACCTTTAAGAGTATATGCAATAGCCGGCAAATTGCTATACAAATACCGTGTCATTCATGAACCATTGACACAATTCTTCGACATATCCGCCGCTTGTGTAGCCGGCTTTGTGTCAATATGAGTTGGCACTTTCATCTAATTCCTGTATTGTTATGTGCACTCAAGTAAACCAATGTAATTTTCCGACTATTAGGTATCTAATTGTTGGAAAACACGAGGATGTCTTTAAAATACACACACACATCCACAAACGAATAACACTCACAACTGTCATTACTCTGTAAAATACTGTATTATTATAGTTTTTTTTTAACTTGTATAGAGTAAATTAGTCGACTGTCTTTTTTGTGTTACCTTTTTTCAGTTATCCTTAATAATGCAATACAAGAAGATTTTTTCGTTGCCTGATACTGCAGTGTAGTATTTTTACATGTAGTATTTTTGTTTCAATTGAATAATAGAATTAATCAATAAATTATTTATAAATCTTGAGAAAAGATGTATGATTGTGATTTTTTGCTCGTATATTAGATAAAACTCCTTCCAATGACTTCATCTCTCCATAGTACATCGAAAAACTGGAATAAAAATTCTAGACACCCCATTACACGCTTAATCCATCAAGTATAAAATTTTGTTTAAATATATGAAATTAAGTAACTTAGATGGTTACAATTATACTCGTGAATCGTACTCAAAACACAAGGACTATAAACTTTCATATACGGAGCTTCTTTCTGACCTGTTTGTTACATTACGTGCAAATACGTACACTCATACTGAATACGTACACTTACATGCAATTAATTTGACATTTACATAACAACTCTTGTAAATTTTACTTGGTTTTAGGGCTGCCAACATTAATAATAATACCCCTGCTAATTTCGCACAACTCCTCTAGTCCCAACATTTTTGTATACGTATATTTGTATACATACATAGTATAGACAGAAAACACCCAGACAAATACAGACAATCGTACTCATAAATAAAAATGTTTGTGGCGTGGGAGCATTCGAAACCTCGACCATCGGAAGTAAACCTGTGTGCCGAACCGCTAGACCAACGAGGTCGTCGAAATAATCTGAAAACTTACCTTTCTGTATAACTCACTTTGCCTCTAACCTCCTACACCCTAGTATTTTGAACAATATGAATATACGAGACCAACTCGTAGATCAAAATCTCGTACAAGCGTGTACGATAATGAAAATGTTCTCGTACCAAACGCCTAAAATCATGGTATTCGTACGAGGTTCCTGTACAGTTGACATCCTTGCTAGGTTTTACTGGTTGGCACGGTGCTCGCGTGCGCTCCATTGTATAAGGTCGCGGCTCGGATACAATAGCCCTTCCCTGCAACATAATCTCTACGGCCGAGCGCAATGCACCTTTGTTTTGCCAACAGTAACTAAGAAATGTTAGGTTCTAAGTGGAACAAGTAGTGAATTGCAATAATGTAATATTATACAGTGTTAGGTCATACTATTATGCAATTGTCATATTAATAATTGAAAATTTATTTCTATTAAAGAAAATGACTACTATCGAATTAGAATTAGTTGTTATAGCATAAATAATTTTAATTAATAGCGAATTGTTTATCAACATTATTTAAGAATTGTCTTCTTGTCCTAGTGTTACTAAAAATGAGGATGTAGGTGCAATACTTTGAAACTGTTTTTTCATAGTTATTGTATGATATGCAATATTTTATCAATAAAGGTATTATCGATTCTTCTGGCAATCGATAGATAACGTACTAAATTTGTCACGACAGGTAGTTTGGTATAACTTTCTGGAATAAACTGTAATTTTATAAAATCAGTTCTCATTGTAAGCTATCACTCCATGTAATGTAATTTCAGTATTTTAATTAATTTCTGCACAGTAATTAATTTGTTAGTAGAATTTGAAGCATGTTATTAGTACTTAACATGATGACCTAATTGATTGAATTGATTTAAGTAGTGGGCAAAGGTTTATTATGTATATTAATGTAGTTTTTTCTATAATGTATTTTTTTTAGCAAATAATTTGCTAAAAAATAAATGACTCTGGACAATTAACAGACGCCCACGGTAAGCAGATCTTGTGTTATGTGTACTAGACACCTGACAACTATAAATACTTAGTTATTTTTTTTTGTAAATACATACATAATATACGTATAAAACCCGATACAAACAATAATAATCATGAATACAAACGTTTGCACCGTGCGAGGAAGCGAACCCGCGACCATCGGAAGTAAAGCGGTGTGCTAAACCGCTAGACCACCGAGGCAGTCAAATGAGCTGATAGTCCTGATACCTAGCGGCAATTTTCAATCTGAGTTTGAAATGTATAACTGCATAGTTAAAGGGGAGTACTCACTGTGGGGTTTTTCGTGTTGACTCATTATGAACCAGTGCGTGTGTTGCATACCAATTAGTGACATTCACCTCTAATTATTCTTATGCCGAGTGCACCGACTGTCACATGCCTACCTCCCACACAAACCCACACCGATTTCCTTGATCTTCGAGGCTAGAGGCCAGTACAATTTACGATTACAAATAGGTAAATATATTTTATTTACATGTGTTTATTTGACAACTTCATCCGTTATATTTTCAACACAAGAGATTCAGATAACGCGGACGTCTAGAGATCCAGCAAAAGACAGATGTATGAATTTTCGAACTGTGGGCTTAATTGACATAGTTGCAACAATTATTATTTGAAGGGGATTATTTTGTCGAGGTACACTTTGTACAAAGTCGTCAGTTCTCTTTCATTTTATGTTTAATGTCCTGAATTATAAAATTTTGCGCTGTTTAATAGTTTCACATAAATCCTCATAAATTTGTTAAAATGTAATGTATCTTTCATCCTTCTTTTCAAAAGGTCGCCAGCAGAATTTTTCAGCCATTCTTCGCGAATCGACATTGGGAATGTGGCGGTAGTCTAAAGAAAGTATTATTCAAATAAAAAATAGAATAATCGACAATCAGTTAATTTGAATAAATAATTATTTCTGTATCTTATTCTGGCGAGTGAGAGGAAAGTGCGACCGCTGGCGGCGTGCCGGCCTGCCCCGTCACCTAACAGCACAGTCCCAAGCCGGGAATAATTGCAACTTCCTACCATGCTTGGCGGTGGCCGTGTTGCCAGATGACCGGCTTGTTTTTTCCCAAATTCTGCCCAAAATCCCTCAAATATCAATTTAATATTAATGATATCCTTGTTTTTTGTACACGGCGCCTCGGTGTTATATCTATTTCATTCATTTCTAAATCTCCAATTTTCCCTCACCTATACAAAATACTCTCAAATTTGGGGAGAAATGTCCCCAATCTGGCATCACTTTAGTGGCCTACTGATGGAACTGTGTAACTCCGATTACGCACACCACTGTTGTACAATATGGACCATACAAACAATTCATAGCGTATAATCAAGCGATTGTGACTTCCTTCTTTTGTATTACTGTATACAGTACTCCTGTTACAAGTTGTTACATGTTATGGAATTTGTACAAATAGTTCACCGTAATCGTCGTGTATTGTGTTCTGTTTTGCATTACTTAGTAAACCCGACTTCTTTAGAATCTAATGATAATAATAATAACTCGCATAGCGCTATCTAGTCCCATGCTAAGCAGAGTATGTGCTATGGGTATTACACTAGTGATAGAAATACTTAAATAATTTTTTTGTAAAGATATACATTTTATTTCGAACTATTCTAATGCTGTTGGCTGCAACTGGGCTTTCCAGATTTACCACATGAATGTTAAAATGGAGTAACTGCGATATTAGAATAATTATTACTGTTTTAACAACAGGTACATATTCTTACATACTTACATCTCTTTATTTATAGTGCTCAAAAAAAATTAAAAATGGGTTTTTTTCTACATATGCTAAACAATAAGCGACCTTATTGCTATGATAAACCATCTCTTATAGACAACCTGGGAGATCGAAGCTTTGATTAAAGAAGTAGGTAGTGCGCATATAAAAAATATTATAGAAATTATTGTTTAATGTAAAACGTATTGTTTATTCAGAGGGTATTATATTTCCATAACCATTCGCATATATCTCATTTTATTTCTATTTAATAAATCTAATTCTTCCTTCCTCAGAATACGACCGCAGACATCAGCGGAAGTGGTAGAAGGATGCGGGGTGTGCGCTCGAGCTGGTGGCGCGGCTGGCGATGGAGGGGTGGCTCTTGGCACAGAGCGCGCCTTCTCCTTCGACTATGCCTTCGACCCTGACATCATGCAGCAAGACGTCTACGATATCTGCGTGAGGAAGCTGGTCGAAGCAGCACTGGATGGATATAACGCCACTGTACTCGCTTACGGACAGGTCAGTAATCTTAGTAATAATAAATGGGAAAGTTTGTGAATATAAATGGATGGATGTTTGTTATTCTTTAACGTAAAAAGTACGGATTAAACTTTACAGTAATAACAGAATAACACATACGCTATCATTTAAAAACTATGTAAATTGGGCGAAATATTATGTTTATCATAAAGTCGAGTATGTGTGATGCAGACGAAGTTACGCGGGTCGGCTAGTATTTTGTTTCAGTTTTAGTCTTATTAAAATTGGTCCAGCCGTTTCAGAGACTAACAAGAACAAACAGCCAGAAAAATAATTAAAGCTTGTATTTTACGTATGTGCTTTCATTACATACTTTCATATGCATGTAGTGAAAAGCTGTTAATTTGAAAATACAAAAAACACTTTCATTTCTTTATTTGATTTTTTAACTACTATTTATGTTTGGTTTTCAAAATCGTTTCTTACGACATTCAGAGCTTGAAAAAGTGTGGTGATATATATTACGTACATACTGTCACCACATATACACACCCGTAAATACATCTAATTCTACAAAGCATCATATGGCCGGCAGTTAACCGCGCCACATCAGTCATAGGCGTCAAATAGGAACATAAGTCACCATTAGCGTTGCCAACCGCCCCGTATTTCACAGGACGTCCCATAAATACGTTTCTTACATAAATTTCAATGTTCTAATAGGAAAAGTTATGTATGTACTAACCTGACACAACGCGAGATGTGAGAACTTTGGAAGTGCTGTTGTATAGATTTAAGTATATAATAGAATAGAATAACATTTATTACACATCACATCACAACACCACAATAATTGTACTGACAGCTACAGCAGTATTTAAATTATTATATTATATTGAGATGGGTCCCGGGACACTCAAACATTGAAGGCAATGAAAATGCTGACCAACTAGCAAAGTTAGGGGCAAAAACTGCCCAACAGGGCCCTGATCCCTTTTAGGCACACCACGTGCCTCGTTGCCTAAAACTGGGACATCTCAAAATAATAACTAAACAAGAAGCACTGAATCACTGGCAGAATATGCCAGGATTAGTACATTCAAAAGCCCTAACAACGGGCTACTCGAATCAATTATCATGTCATGTCAATAGACTTATGCTATTGAGTAAAAACAATATTAGTATCAAGACTAGGGTAGACAATTTGGGCACTGGACACTGCAAATTGAACAACATGGCGAAATTAGGCCTTAGCTTAACAACAATCTGCAGATTTTGCAGAAGAGGAAACGCCATTATACATCCTATGTGATTGTGAGTGGGCACTCATGCATAAACGAAATATCTCCTTTGGAAAGAATACACTCTATCTTGAGGTGATAAAAACCATCGCTTCTAAGAATATCCTTCAATTGTTTCCCTTACGGGTCTAAGCAACGAACTTTGAAAAAAGGCGAGCACAATAGATCTATGTAGGTCAGAATGCCACAGGTTTTAGTACCCGACAATAACCCTAAACCCCCCCAAAAATAAAAGAACAATCCCCTTCCTCTCCGTTCTCCTCTTGTCTCTTTAAGTTGATAACAAAAGTTGGTGACGCTAGTCAACCTATACGTCTACAGATGTTGCAGCTGTCATATTTTTAGACGAACGAGGTCAATGGCTTGCAACAAATTGTGTCCACCTACGTATACATTCACAATTGTAGCAATTGCCGTAGACACGCGATTCTGTGATGTCAATTATGCTGTTTGTGTTTATAGGCGACGGTTCATATTGTTCACCGGGTGCACTGTGGTTTTACATTCAATTACATAAGATGTTACATTGTGATCATTTGTATTGGTGAATACAGCTAGCAAAAAAAAAATAACGCTATGGAATAAACACAGTGCCGTCCAGTCCCAAGCTAAGCAGAGTTTGTGTTATGGGTAGACAAGATATAAATCCTTATGTATATATATTTTTTAAATATATACTTACATAGAATAACCATACTCATGAATACAAATGTTTGCATTCTGCGAGAAAGAGAATCGGCGACCATCTAACGTAACGCGGTGTGCTAAACCGAAATTCCACCCAGCCCGCAAAAACTATAGTAAAATACACTGCAAGACATATGATAATAAGCCTAAATCCATTTTTATTGGAGGAATTATATTCACGTTATTCTTGTACATATGTTGGACTCTGTTTCCGCATTTAGCATCTCGTTTGGGCGTTGTGCGTGTGATCTTTTTCTACGTGTCTAATTACTTTCGCATCAATTTTTCCAGCGGAAATACCATCTGTATTACAATTGTTACATTTTGAAATAGTTCCAACGATAGTATATAAATAGACGAAGAACAGTATTTTATTCAAAACTAGCTGTTCCTGCGACATTGTCCGCGTGGAATTTTACTTTATTTATCTAAAAAAAAATGTTCTTTTCTAAAATTAAAGTAGCTTAAGTTACTCTATATTACTTCAGCTACCTGTTAAAAGAAGTCCCGTCAAAAACGGCCCAGCCATTTCAGAGATTAGCCGTAACAAACAGACCGACAGACAGACAGACAAAATATGTAAGAATTGTTACTTTGTAGTATGTACCATATTTATATTTATATGCATGTAGTAAAAAACTTTTTCAATCCAATTATTTATATGTATAGATGAGCATAGTGCTTCAGAATCGCCTTCGAACTGAATGATAAAGTCCTGTACATATAAAGTTACGACTACAATCCTAATACAAGAGCATGAAGGTCGCAGGCTTCAATTACACGGCTGTGTCTCGTGTAATGTTGGATGTAAGACACACAATCATTTGTATGGTAATCGTCATTTAAATTAATCAAGCCTTCTGTCAAGGTGATGTTAGTTGGTTGATTGGTTTATAATCGTAATTGCTGTCTTATTTTAAGATATTTAATAAAAAATCAACTAATTAACAACATATTATTCATATTTAATATTCATAACTAGTACGTTACTTATATAATAATATTGCGATATATGGAAACAAGTCCTGCCATAAACGTTAAAACAAATTGTTTGTACCGAAATCAAGAATATAAAATATACGTCTAAGTTTGGAAGTCTATATATTTTTATAAGCTTCGATTTTCATTTGGAAATATAATCTTGAGGAGTAGTAGAGTTTTGATATTCAGAGAATACAGTAAATGGTCACGTAAAACGGTTTACAGAGTCGAGTCGTTATCCGATCATTATCGTTTGCCACAAACTATTTCTATACTACCTGTACTGTCCTGTACCAATATTCTAAAGAGAGAGAGTGGATTTTATTATAAGGAAGTTATACTGCGGAACTACTTCAATGATTTGTGAAAGTATTTATACTTTTAAAGGTACTATAAAGGTACATTTATAGAATAATATCTAAACATTATTCAATTTCAATTAGTGACATCCACAATAATATTAAAGTAGATTAAATGTATGTATGTAGTTACGTATATTTTAGTCAATATTATGTTATTATTATTTCATTTTTGTATATAATATACATATTCATTCATAACCGCAATCATGTAACTCAGCATTTCCCAAAGGTTGACTGTTGTAGCATTAAGTCTGTTTTACCATATTTTATATGGGTATGAAGACAGATTGTATCTCGAGGACAGATATAGACTATGTTTTATTTTAAAATAAGATAAAGACGCACGAAACAGCTAGTAGGCATATGCATTATGTTATATATAACATATAAAACTTACCAAAAGCGAAGCCAAGTCGCCATAAAAATTTTCGTGGCTTCGACAGCCTTCATAGAATCATAAACCTACTTTCCGCGGCAACATTCTTAAGGGCTTCATACTAGATCAAAATATGAAGTACGCATAGTCCATACGCACCAGCTGTGATATAAAGGATCGACGACATTTCATAATCTGATAAGTGAAATTGGTAATCTCTTTCGATTTCAATTTGAAATCATAAACATTGTTATCTATATATGATATTGAAATATTCAAGAAGAGACTATGCCTACCTTCTTAAAAAGTCGGAACTACATTTTTTCCGTCTACTCTAATGCTGTTGGCCGCAATTGGACCTTTACAGCTTCAATGGGAGGCGAGTGGGGATGATACTCCAAACTCGCGCAAGGACTTATAGAGTGGCTGACGGATACGATTCAATCTGAGGCCAGGGGTCCGAACTTCGGCTCGAACCGTCGTAATTTCAATCCCCGTTTGAATTGGATGTAGTATCGATCGGAAGGGACAGAATTTCTCTAGTGTCTTTTAGCGCTTATCAACGCATGGCCACGCACTTTCTAGTGCCGCCTATGTTATAAATAAAAACTATTTAAAATTCTGTACAAAATACAAGTAATGACGGGACATTAGAAAAATCGCGTGCACAATAATTAGTTTTGTAAAAATTGCTTAATGACATACTAAAAACCTTTAAAATCACAAATTGTTTTTCTTGGTATAATTTGTGTCAACATATTAATGACTAATGTAATTATAATTATACTACGAACATTACAAAGTTGTATATCCGTAATAATTATATTTCAGGACAAGACTGCTCCATCCGGTCCTAAGCAAAGTATATATGGGTATTATGGGTACTAGACAACTGATATAAATAAATAGGTACGCTTATTTTAGTACTTTTAAGTTAGTACATGTTAGAACACAAGTTACCTGAGGCAATACGAGGTATCCCTTTACAACAAAATAGTATTTTCGTATAGAACGGTCTATGCGGAGTCACCTCATTTTATTGTCAAGCAATTTACTTTGCAAGCAAATGATGAGCAGTAAACTAAGAAATATCTAGGTGCGCAACCATAAAACTTTCAACTTTTTGCCATTGTAGCAAGTACCTAAGTATTTGTTGATGTCCGTGTTGTTAATCCGTTATGCTATTAATAAATAGGTATGTCTGTGTATATGTATGTATATACCAGTATATCGGTTAAGATCACTTAGAATAATATTTTTTACCATTCTAATCGTATAAAAACTGTGTACTTTTTATAGCACGGAAATTTTTGAACATCTCAATCTGTTCAA